ATTTCATTGCTTCTAACAAGAATTCCTTTAAACTGTATATGCAGATCAACAAAATAGAGATGATAGATACAGAATGTTGCTGTTTAGCCCTCATATCAAACATCAGAGGAATTCAAATAAGAGAACTGCTCTCAAAAGACTGATACTGATACTGATAAAATACAGGTTCACACACACACACACACACATACACACACACACACACACACACACACACACACACACACACACACCCCAATGGAAAAACAGTACATGGATAGGAAGGGTTGCAACATGAGCAGCTATCAAGTGATACCAAAGCCGTGCTGGGAAGGTAGGCATTATAAATGTTCTTAGGCTATTATAGGAACAGGTTCCAACCAAAAATATATATATATTTTTTAATTGTAGCCATTATGTTCTTTTGAGTGAAGCTACTCAAACTCTAGAAATACCAGTCCAGGATAAATGCAATTGCATCTATTCCAGACAAATACTCTTCAATTGTAGAAAATACTTCTTTCTTTTTAAATGATAAAAAAAAAGTTCATGAATTTAAACCTGTTGTTCACAAGTCGCAACTAACAAAGTAACATGAAGACTGTCAATAGGAAAAAACCTTGGAAAATAACTTAAATCTAACTAGTACTTATTCTTTTAAAAAATCCATTCAACATATTGATTTTTTTGTTCAAGGCAATGTAAGCTGAATATACTTAATCATTTCTTTTAGTTTCTTTCTTTAATGCTTTGGTAATCCACAATGAAAAATTTCCCCACATAATATGGTTTTAACAAATAATTCCATTTTCCAAACTAGTAACTCTAAGCCTAAACTATTCTTATATTTTCATCATTTTGGTAAGAGAAGCTAAAAGATAAAATTTAAGGTCACATTGCAATATATTTTTCCAATTATGGGATTTGGGGAAATAAACTAGAGTGATATGCAGCCATCAGGAATAAAGGAGTTATTTTAGAATCAGAAAGTAAATTGAGTGTAACAAACAGAATAGTCAGTACACTGTCATGCCCAGGGCATTTCAGTCACACTAAAATTTTGGCAATAATATTGTTGTTGAGGAGTGTACATGTAAGTATATGCATGAATCACGTTTGAATATGAATGAATGAAGATACACAAACACACACATAACATATGATTCTAAAAAACAGGTAATAATGAAAGAAAAAAATAACTAAAACTGATTTTTGGGGAGACAGGGATCATGTTTCAACATATATATATCCCCCATGCCCATGATATAGTAGGCATAAACTATTTACATTTGGATGCATTATGGAATAGATAAATGGATAGGATGGAAGGAATAAAATGATAATGCCAATTAAAAGAGCAAACTTAAGCTAATTAATCCAGAGATTTCCCTTGGATTTAAATAAGACCAATACTCCCAAGGACAGCAAGAATAGGAACTAAAAATAAAACTACATTTCATCCGAGCCTTATTATATTCCAGCCTTGCATAAATGATGAGAGAATATTGATGCAGTTGGGTTACTTCTGTCTCATGACACAGAGGTATTAACATACTCAATAATCAACTATATGGCACTCTTCTTATGGTGCTGCTTGGATTGGTAATTAGGTGAATTGTGAAGACTAATAACTCTCTGAGCATAATCCAGGAGAGTACATAGAAATCTAGAGTTAGTAAGGGTAAAGGAGTACTCTAGGGCTTGATGTCTGCCCAGATCACAATGACAATCAGGAAAGCTTAATTTTATAAGAAATTTGAGCACCCAGAGGGCAGTTCTTTCTCACCAAAATAAATGTGAAGAATTTTATTTATATCACCTGGAGATTAAATTATGTAAGTACTCCAGCTATGTGTATTTTCAGATGACACTTAATGGCAGTGAGAACTTTGTCAAGTTACTTAATTTCCCTTAACCTATATCCTCTTCTGCTAGAATGTACCCCTCCCTGAGTTAGTGTGAAAATAAAATCGAATAAAGTGAATGAAATAACTCAGTAAGGGTCCAGTAGAATAGGGTCTCTGTTTTTTTTCCTTATAATTACTTTTAAATTGTGGGATATAATTCAGGGTTAGGTAGGCAAATATTCATTGTGCAGGTACCCTTATTGATGAGGTGTGTCCTCCCTTCCCCAGGCAAATTTTGACTACTGTCAATCCCACCTCCCCCCCCCCCCAGTTTCCTACGACTGTCAGTCCTTTTCCTATAGTATTATGGCAGTTGTTCAAAGCCCACTTATGAGTGAGAACATGTGATACTCAGTTCTTTGTTTCTGTGAAAGATCACTCAGTATTATAGACTCCAATTCCATCCAGGTTGCTACAAAGTTCATGATTTTGTTCTGCTTCATGACTGGGTCCAGAAGAACTCAAATCACTCTACAAAAAAGATTTCTGCACATGTATGTTTATCACAACATTGTTCACAATAGCAAGAACATGAAATCAACCGTGCTGCCCATCAAAAGAAGACTAGATACAAAAAAGTGGTACATATAAGCAATGAAATATTATGCAGCCATAAAGAAGAATAGGATCTCTGTTAATGTGAGTTTTTTCCTTACTAAATTCCTTCTTCTAGGTACGAAAGCCAAGCTGTGGAGGACTGGTCACATTCTATTTCACTTCAACCAGTGAATAATAAAATCACAATAACAGAATAATACCTTATTGCTCAAACCATAGCCGACTGTATCATCACTTCTTCCCACTCCTACCTGTCTACACATAGCATGGAGTCTCAGGGGACAGGGAAGAAAGGAAAATGTGAGGAAGAAAAAACTAGGGCAGAAGGAAGAGCAAGGGAATAGGTGAAACGGAAAATTTGATTCCAGGGAGGACTCCTTAATGACACTTCTCCTGCTCAACCTATTCTAAGAGCTCCAAGTCTAAATAACATGCAGAAGGAATGGTGAGCTTATGAAAGGTTGACATGTCAACTCAAGTGCTATTCTTGCTCATCTTTACCTCACGGCCCCATCCTCTTGCTGTGTGATGGACTCGCTCATAGGACCCTTGATGATTACTGTAATGCAATTATTTTGAATTTTTCAACCTCATTTCAAAATCAGCAGCAAGATCAGAATTATGGATTCACCAAGAAAGAGCACACTCATGGGGGAAAAGGCACTATATCAGCAAGTCACAAGCTTACAATTTGTATATATAGCCTTTTATATATCTCCTTTACTTTTTAATTTAAATTGTGTCAATTCATGCTTATCTCAAAGGCAATCTTAAAATGACATTCTTAAATGGCATTCCCTTAACCCCAGTATAGTTTTAGCTACCACTTCTATTCATATGCTACAACTCTAAATTATCTTATTCAGTTCCAACCCTCAGACTCAACATATTCAAAAGGCTGGAAAAAATATAAACTCTGGCTGGCCATTTGTCCTTGATGCTGGAAATGTCTACAAACTAACTTGACAAATTTCTTCTATATTCTTCATTTCAGTAAATGGCACCCATATGTTCCCAGACACCCAGACTATAAATATGGTGTCTACAGCATTCTACTGCCTAAAGCCATCACTAGCTCCCCATTGCCTTAGAACAAAGCTTGAATCTGCAGCAAGATAAAAAGCCCTCCAGTTCTCATTTTGCACTAGCTTTTATTGTTTAACATATCTTTTCTCACCGGCACTTTCTGATAAGTTGAAACTGATTTCGGTCACATGCATAGATCCTATCCTTCTATTCCTTCTGCCTGTGATGTCCTTCTCATCTTTCTTTACCTGCAAGGCTACTTTTAGGACAAAATACCACGTGCACTGGGGTCTAACAGCCTCCTGCAGTGCATGAGCTCTGCATCACCACCTCTGTGAAGAACCATGTTACCCTAATTACAATGTCCAACAGGCCTCTGCCCCGGCATTATCAATACCTGCTGGGCCTACAGAAGTCACTTAATAGTTGTTAGCCATTTTATTACCACTGTGTTGATAATGATGATAATGAGGAACACTCACATATGTAATGAATAATAGAAAAATTCCCTCGAGAGAATAACGTTCACAAAATGTTTAGGAAATCCTCTGAAGCAGGAGCGATTATCAGAAGAGGGAAATCCTTTTGCAATGGGAAGTTTTAGCTGCAAGCTTTCCTCAGTCCATCTGAAGAAGCCTTTGAAGTTGCATAATAATAATTAAATAGGGCAGCTCTTTTATCTTTCTTTGCTGGCAAACTTTCAGGAGACCAGAGGAGTTTTCTGTCTATCTGCACGCACCAATCAAGCAGTTAGGCTTAAAGTGATGTACACGCACAAGTCTCTGCCTTCTGGATTGTTAAATATAACTGAACTGAAAATCCATAATTCAAGTTTTGCTAAATGACAACTTTACAGATAAATTTCTGACTGCTTTCTTTTTCTTTGCACCATCAGACATTCTGGCTAGATGCATTTTTTTCTTTGTATTTAGAGTGTGAACTCTATAAAGTCAAAGATCATGTTTGTCTTCTTCACTGGAATGAGTAGCCCAGACCCTATCAGATAGTACCTGCTTCATGAATATTTGTGTTCTAAAATGCTTGAATCTATTAATTGATATTCAATTCTGGACTACATTGCCTAGAAATATTGTCTAAAATATTGAAGGATATGTTTAGTATAAATCCCATCCAAAAGTGAATGCACAAAAAATATGCCTGAGAAGTGCATCGTCCTAAGTTTGTAAATACATTAATAAGGCTGTCTTCATGGTCATTATCCTGCTCATTGTCGTCAGGTCTGCTGATTCTTGAGTCTCAGGGTTGAGCTGAGTAGATATCTGGAGCTAATGGTTCTCTTTGGTGAGGCATTAGACTAATTTAAAAAGAGTGAGTGCACTTTCATTCCTAGTCTTTGCCAAATATATGAATTCTTGGGAGGCTTTCCAAGTTACTAGTAGGAGCGTTGCAAATATCAAATGCTTTAGATGTATATTCAGTTACTTTTACAGCGTCTATGAGAATTAGAATGAATCTTGAAAACAATAAAATGAATATTATTAAATTTAAAAATAAAAGGAAAGCCCTTACCTGAACAGAAGTCATCAGAATATCGATCATACACGGCTCTACAGTCCCTTTCATCACACTCACAGGTGTCCCCGTGAATGTCTCCCCAGTCTCCAGTTGGATCAACATCGTGGCAAGAGCATTCACCACACACACAAGTCCCTAAGTGGGAAGAATTATATTGTGGTTTAGTCAATAAAAACCATAAAAGAAAGCATTTTATGTATTGCTTCCCCCCATCCTGCCCGCCCCGTTACTTATTTTGTATTTGGAAAACATACATATTCAGAAAAAAATATTTTTTAAAAAAGAAAAAAAGCCCTCTAAAATTGATAGTAGAAATTCCTTAATAAATAAACAAATTAATCAATATGTCTATAATTATTTTAGATTGTGGGATGTTTCATTAGCACTGTGTTAGTTTCTCTCAAAGATAATACTAAAACAACTTGCATAAGATATAATCTTTGCCCTTCAGAAACTTATGCTCTATTTGAGAAAAACAAAACTAATAAGGGAAAATTAAGCAAACACTAAAAATATAAGTACTAACATTTTGTAAACTAGGACATGAATGTTATGAGTTTGGTGAAGGAGGTTTGGCATGGGCTGGAATGGTTAGCCGTGGATGGTCTGTGTATACAGAGAATAGACGGAGTGTTCTAGGAAACATTGGAGGTAGAACTGAGGGAAAATTAAGAAAGCAAAATTAAGCAAATATGGGTGGGGATGGGCAAAGGGCTCCCGATACGTATGTTAAGAAAGACTAAGTAAAGTCTGCTATATCAGATGAGCTTATGATAAAGTTAGAGATCAGCCTGAGAGTTTTAACCTTGGTCATTTGGAAATCCACATTTTAAAAATGCCCAATTGTAAATCACATTGCTTCATGTGGTTTATCGGTAATCGTCTTTAGGGTAACCAGTTAATCATTTGGTGAAACCATAAAGCTAAATCCTTTTCTTATCTCTTACATCAAAATAAGTACCAGCTGGATTAAAGATTTAAGTGTACAAAATAAAACCATAGAATATGAATGAAATTCTTTTTTTATTCAAAATCCCCAAAACCCAATTACTAAAAGGAAAAAAGAAATAGACTTAACTACAAAAAAATCTAAAGTTTGGGTTGTAAATAAAACAGCATTAAAAAACTGAAAGATTAAAAAGTTGAAACAGTTCATATGTATGTAAAAGACAAAGAGCGCTTTCACAAACATATAAGCAGTTATTAGGATTCAACATATAAATAACTAATATGCTCAAAGCAAAATAGATGAGAGCAAAGAACAATAAGAACTTATTTAACAATAAAAACATGGAAAAGTAAGGATAATAAATGCAAAAAATATTTACCATTCAACCTATTGCTACTCAGAGATAGTAGTGGAAGATCTTTTAAACAATAGTGAGTTAGAATTATTTTGGATGCAAGATTGTCAGAGGTGAGAAAGACTGCTCAGATCCAGAGTTGATAAAGGTGTGAGACAATGAGAATTCTCCTTCTCTGAAGTAGAGTACAAAATGTACAACTTTCTGGGTGGCAAATTCATAAGTATGTACTTTTTAGACATGCATTATGATTCAGCATAATAGTCCACTTTGATTATTGTATCCAACAGAAAGAAAAAAATGCACAAAAGTACATGTTCAGAAATATAAAATATGGTTATATTTACATTATTAAAAAACTACTAGTGACCAGAATGTTGATCAATGGGGATTTAGTGCAGAAATGGTACATGGTATCAGGGACTGTAAAGCAATCATTAATAGTGATAACTAGAAGCCGAGGTGAGAGGATTGCCGGAGCCCAAGAGTTTGTAACCAGTCTAGGCAACATGACGAGATCGCCTCTCTACAGTAAATTTTTAAAAATTAGCTGAGCATGGTAGTGCATTCCAGCTACTTGGAAGACTGAGGCAGAAGGTTTGTTATAGTCCAGCAGGTCGACGCTGGGGTAGCCATGTGTGTGCCACTGTACTCCGGCCTGGGCGACTGAGTGAGACTCCAACTTAAAAAAAAAAAAGAGTGATAATTTTGGCTTTTGCTCTGTGATCATGGAAAGATAAGCAAAATACATTCTTAATTTTTTGAAAAATCAAATTGAAAATCGGTATGTATTGTGTGATTCAATCTTTGTATTAAATACGAAAAAAATATGAAGGCTGGGGGAACCACACGATGGATTTTTAGTAAGTCAATGCAGACTGAAAGGCCATATTACCAAACCGTAAAAAGAGGTTATATCTGGTTGCCAAGATTACGGGTCGTTATCTTATTTTTTTATACTCCATTATATGGATTTTTTTTAATGGATAAGGATTGCTTTCAAAACAGTATAAACAGTGTTGGTGGGCAAAGAACAGGGACTGTCAGCCATGTAGACTTGATGAAAAAGTAGCTTCCGGCTGTACGTAAGGTGGTGTATGAAACTATTAATAAGTCAAGTGGGCAATAGAAGGTATTTATTCCATGACAATTTGGTTGTGTCTGCAGCATTGCTGTGTTGGTCCCTGAAGATGGTCAACAAAAAGAAGATGAGGTGGGTATGTGCACGGACAGTGTCTCTCTGCTACCTAGATAAGTAATGATAAGGCAATGGCTTCAAGGTAAAAAAGGGTGATTCCTTCTGAGAAGAAATAAAGCATTCATCTCAGCCTCCAATCCTGCTCTGCCTTCATGTGCCCCTGAATCTTAGGAGCTATAGACTTCACTTAGGCAAAACCCTTTCCATTCTGGTTCTGCCAGATCTTCAAATCACAATGCTCCAAGTATAGGGAAGGGGAAAAACAGGAGGCAAGACCTTGGGTAGGTGGCTTAGCATGTGCTTCTGAAGGACATCGTCTCTCAAGGCCCACATAACTTTGCTGCAGAAGCTGACCCTAATCCACAGCCCAACCAAGCCCCCTTCCACCTCTCTCTTTTTAACATTGAAATGGTTATTTTCCATAGTCCCACTATTCCAGCCTCACACACTGAGGAAGGGTGAATATGAGCCCTGTTAAATAAAAAGGAGTTAAGCAGAAAACATGATCTCATATATTAAAAGAAAATATAAAGTGCATTAGGGTGTAAGACTGAGTCCACAAAAAGAGAGTATTTTTCCTTTTGATCTTTGTTCCAAGCTCATGCCTTTTGCTTTATCTTTCTTTTTACATAGTAAAGAAATATGACACATTGTCCTCTTCTATGTATAAAAGGTAGTGAGTTAAGGCTTTCTGTATGAGCATTGTCTATTAAAATGCACCATTCATTTCTAGAAATGAAAAAAAAAGTTGCCAGCTACCTAGAGTTTTATGGTTTTATAGGTGGAAATATGGTCACTTATTTATGTCATTGGGTAAGCAATGAAAAGATCAGCATAACTTTCTTTTATCTATTTCTGCAGCAGACAAAGTGGAAAAATACGTGTCTTCAAGGATGTTTACAAAGTGCTTAAACTGTTTATTTGATATCAAAAGTAGTTGACTAACTTTATATTTGAGCAATATTAATATATTTTTTTAAATTACTGCTTAAGGTCACTCTAAATTTCACTTGGCTATTTGATACATACTATGCTTTCTATATCTATTGTGATCAATATCACATTTTTATATGTGTTGAGAAGTTAAATTAGTCTATATCAATTCTGAATTTCAACCAAGGCTTCAATTTACTCATAATTAAGCCAACAGGGTTTTCTGAACACTCTCAGGATAATTAGATGCTCATGCTTTAGATGGTTCTGTTAGTCAAGAGACATTTAACAGAAGTATCTATAGGAATTGCCTTTTAGCTGTACTGTGCTATTTCTGGATGACCGCCAAAGAAATTACAGTCCCTATGTTAACTATTTGTTCAGTGGAGCTTACAGAATGACAGCAAATGGCTTATCTGTCTTTCTTCTAATCAATAACAAAATAAGACAGAGAAGATTGTTGATATAGTAAATGTTGATAACATCAAAGCAAATAATAAAATGACTTCCTCCCACATTACAGGAAATATGGAGAAAAGAGTGTTAACAATTAAGAGCTTTGTTTTCCTCCTAATTATGTAGTAACATGTATGAATGACACACCTCTGTTACTGCAGATTTTGCCATCTGGAGATGTGCATCTTCGCTTGCTTTCCCAGGGGGTGATATCGCACTGGAATTCGCATTTATCTCCATGCCAACCAGCCTCGCAGTAGCAGTTTCCACAGTAACACTTCCCATGGCCTTTACCCAAAATGAATTTTATACAGTGAGGGAAAAAAGCAACTTTTTAAAAAAGCAGAATTAACTTTCTATCTCCTTGTGATCATTTTTGTCTTCTGAAATAATATAACAGCCCCATGTTTGTTGCTTAAAATAATCAAATTATATAGTTCTCCCCCCCCAAAAAAATCATAGTTGCACCTAATACCTGCTTAATTATACAATTAAAGCAAACTAAAGCATCCTTTAACTTGGCCTACACAGGGAGCTGGTTAGAATAAAAGTATTTGTAAAGGAGTGATGTAAAAGCCTATTACTTTTCCATCTAAAGTGCATGCACCAAACTCAAATGTATGTAAGCATTCACTCTGAGGACATTTCTTGAATTAGGCATTAAAATATCCTATTTGAAATCAACTGCTGAGAAAGCAATGGTGCATATTTATTTATATTTACACATTATTAATAACCAAACCATTTTTTAACCCAGAGGAAATATTTCATCTTCTCATTCAACTGTGTTCCACAAGCTGTTGTGTTCCACCATGTGGAAGAGAGGTTTCTAGCCTAGACAATGTTTAGTTCTTATTTAGACCAATAAAATATCCTGGACCCTTGGTCTCACAATCAAATTCCCATCCTATCTGTCAAGGGGATACAAGGGCACCATCATTTTGTGTTTAGATGTACCTCTTTCAGCTCCCATCTCCCCATCACCTGTTACCTGCTCATTTGCATTTCCCTCCAAGCCATCTGTAATGAATTACCACATCACTGCTTTTCTCACCCATGCCTAGTAACCCTTCCACAAATTCCCCAAAGATGGCATTTATTTCTAAAATCACTTCTTGTGCTCTTTTCTTTATAGTTATGTCATCTAAGCATGAATGTATGTCCTTGTTCTTGTTTTGTTTTTCACTCTAGTTCTCTCTTCTCCTACAGCCATAATCCCAAAGAGCCCATGCAAACTGATTGTGAGGCTATTTTTTATAATCTGAATAACATCTTTTTAATTCTAACACTATGACATCTCTGGTCAATGTCAAGGGCATTAGTATGGCTGTAAAACACATAAAAAGTAGGAAATAAAATAGAATGTTCTGGTCTCCTATGCTATTCATGTCAAGTAGATGATACTTCCATCAAGCAGACACAGATCCAAGAAACAGAGACAGAACACTGAAGAATGCTTTAGTGAGATAAAGAAAATAGACAGAGACCCAAGCATGCAATGTCATGTTTTCTGTCTGAATGAGATATAATTGGGGTATTCATAGAAAAATAACTTATTAATCGAATAGGCAATAACCATTTTTACAACAAATTTTAAGTTTGTTTACTTAAGCACATGCAAAGGATATCAAATTATTTCATCAGACAAAATATATTATCTATACATTTTATTTATTAATTTGAAAAGATCTCTACCTGTACACACCAGGTTTTAGTGCTATACCACAAACCTTGAACTCAAGGATTACATTGGAAAAAAGTCAGTTACTGCTTTTCCTAGAAGTCACATTTCGTAAGACTCAATCAACTTTTCAGACTATAAAGTTTATTTTCTCTGTAATTTCAGAAAATTCACACAGAAGGTGTTACATACCTAAGGATTACCATGATATTAATAAATGATAAAAAAAACTACACACATTACACCCAACTTCTTTGAGTATTTATAAAATTAGTACTGAATTAGGCTTTTGCCAAGAAATCTTTGAGTTAGAAGTAAATAGGAAAATAAAACTCATGTCTAGCTGTACCTGTATGCAGATATGAAAAATTAAACTCACTTTACTCAAATAAAAATATTGTAACAAGACACATTTGAGTAATTGAGATGAAATGTATGCTTTAGGACAATGCACAATGCACAATGCACATTTCAGACAATAAACATAAGTCTTTGGTTTGTGTACATTGATAAAGTCACTGATGGACTATAGAATCACCTCCCAGCAGATTGGTTTCATGTGAATAACACATGGAAAGATTTATGGCCCCAAGCAATGTCACCCCCAGAGGGTGTTTACTGGAGTGCTGGTGTCCTTGGTCAGAGACTTTGCACCATGAAATTGCTTAAGCCTCAAACAAATGGAAATTACAAGTAGGAAGGTTGAAAGTTAAACATTTCCTGTTGTGTTGTTTCAAGTTAATTTTTATATTTATACCTGCAAATAGACTTTACTTTGGTGCAGTGTATCGGAAATCACTGGCCCCTAACCATGTTTCTTTCCTCATTTTCATCTACAATAATTGAAAGTGAAACATCAAGAGGACAAAAACATAATATTTGTGGATGGATTTGTCTAATTGATCTAATTATTTTGGACTGAGCCCTTTAGGAGAGAATTGTCTGAGCAGCATCTATCTTAGGTCATTGGCTTGGAAAAATGAATAGAAGATTTATGTGTGTATTTGTTTCATCCTAGCGATATGCAGCCAGGGGTCAAGAGAGAAAGGACCAAGCAAACCTAAAATAAGCGTATTTGGACGACCACAAGAATCAAAGCTACTGAAATGTGAAAACAAAGCTTGTCATATGCTAGTGACATTTTCCAAGGACCTTTTGTTTCCTCCTGGTCCCATTTATCCCTTTCTAGGAAAAATACTCTTCTGAAATCACCTTTTCTGCAGGCAAAACAATATTTCACTAACTGTAATCCTGTCAGATATAAGTGAAATATAAGTTTAATAACAGCAGAGAATTATTTGCCTAAACAGAAGTGATTCTTACATTTTCTACTTTTTTTTTCCTGTACCAGCCAAGATTACAAATGGGCACAGGTGTGCAGGTAGGTAAGCAGAAGAGAAGGAAACTTTGGGTGATTTGAAGGGGCTCTTGTGGAGCTTTTAACTCTGAAGCCCTGATGCATTTCTGAACGGTGAGAAGTCAGGAACATAGTCTTTGGGGTCAGACAGGCAGGCACAAGTCTAAATCCTACCATAATTGATGAAATGACCCTGGGTAGGCTCCCTAATTTGTTCCAGTCCCAGTTTCCACATCGGTCTATGTGGATAAAAATAATGTTTATCTTAGAGTGATGGTGTGAGAATTAACATAATGAATATAAAGCATTTATTGTAGAACTTGGCACTAGTAAACATACAAGAAATGGTTCGATGAAAACGGATTGAGTGGTGGTACATAGAAAAGGTCATGGAAAATGTTATCTCAGAGTGTGACGGGGGACCGGGTGGAGGAGGTAAATTCCATTAATAATTCTATTGGTCTTCAATGTTCCCAATAGGACATGAGACAATCTAAAGACTTGTGGTTTAGAAAGAAAAAAAAAAAAGAATGAAATTGAAATTAACACATACAGATAAGAGGGTAGAAGAAAAGAGAATGTCGGTAACTAAGGTGAGCAAAGAAGATGGCATTGCACTAGGGCTACTCAGAGTTATACTGTTGGCCTGTTACTCTCCTTTGGGGACAATTCGGTTTTGAATTTTAAAAGTGCTAGTCTACTCTTAACGCCTTAGTTTAACTCTTCTTATATAAAGTGTTTTCCAAACAAATATAGGTTTAAATTGAATTGGCACACCCAGAGCAGAAATATATACAGAGATAAAAGAACAATGAAATAGATAAAAAAACAAGAGCTACTTTTCTTAATTTCTACATATACATACCTCCACATATTTCTTCTGTTTCATCATCTATGCATTCTCTATCATCACACTCACAAAATTTACCATAAACGAGTCCATTTCCGTCAGAATTATCACACTTACACCTGCCACAGTGACATGTACCTAAATAATTAAAACAGAGAAAAGATAGTATGCTACATGCATATAAATTATCAGGAATGAGCTTTTATTTTGTCCCTTTCAAGAGGGTAGACAATTCTAATCAATTTAGTATTCAGTTATGTATCTCTGTGGTTATGATGAGGTAAAGAAAAAACTACTCTTTCTTGAGATGATTATGGCACAGCAATTATGTTTTATCTAACACAGCTATTATTATTGACCTCTAATAGTTTAATGACTGTAAATTTGACCTCTTCAAGTGCAGAGTTAATTTACACATGTCTATCCAACCAATATATGAATGAATATCTTCTGATTACACCTGGGTCTGAAGTAAACTAAAGCAGAAAATTCTCAGCTTTATTAGGGAAGTAACCTGTGCTTATCTTCCTTACCAGTATTTATTCAATGCTTTTCACAATATTTAAACATACTCTTTATATAATAAATATTTGTAGAAATAATTTATTATCAAATGCATAAATGAAAAACTTATATGCCTCTGATAATGTCACATCCTCAAAATTAACTGATATTGATATGTATGTTCTTTTTTCTCTTCATTTTGTTTTAATTAAATTGATCCAAAGTGATGCCAATAATTCAAAAATTAACAAAACCGTAAAATATATCAGACAAGGAAATATTTCAAAACTGAAAAGTTTGCTATTCAGAGAATGAGAAAAAAGAAAAAGGACATGTTTTATATATTAGATTAGAGTAAATTTTCTTAGGCATAGATTCCTGGGATCTCAGTAGATTCTCACAAGAGCTCAGAGTGATACAGAGGCATGGAGTCATCTGGTCTACCAAAAACAAATACTCATCCAAGTCTGAAGAATTTACTACATCCCCTAAAGGTGGTTTTACTAACATTAATATTGCATTCAAATGATAGTGAGAGGTAGAATGTGCCCTTGAGAAAACTCATTTTTAATATATATTTTTTAAGTTTTAATTGAACATCACAGCAATCAATGTATATCAGTTGAGACTTAATCACTCACAAAAAACCACTTCAGACTCTAAAATCCAATAAAGGATCAAGTCAGCCACAATCCTCCTCTCTGAGCTTTATATGAGTAAAAAACAATGTGATAAAATAAATAGAGAAGTGCAAAGTGCTGCAGAAGTACATAGCAAGGGGATTTAACTGAGACCAGGAAGTCAAAGATGGAGTCCCTGAGGAAGTAGTTGAGAACTGAAAGCCAAGTAAAAGGAAAAAAAAAAAAAGCTAAGAGTAGTGAGATGACAAAAATGCTCACTTATAACAAAGACAATAGCACGGGATCGGTGAGAAAAGAGTATATAAAGGGAAAAAGAAGCAAATAGGATTGATGTATACAAAATAACGTGAAACGTGGCATGAAATGAATAAAGCAACTAAAGGTGCAGTTTATGGAAGTCTTATAGATCAAATTAAAGATTTCCAACTTAAGTCAAGAATAATGAGAAGATAGAAGTGTTCTCAGCAAGAGAGTCATGTGACAATGTATGCTTTTTTTTTTTTTTTACCAGATTACTCTGGTTGTCATGTGGAGAAGAAACTGAAATAAGGCAAAAGTAAATACAAGAAAATGAGCTAAGAAGCTATTGGGCCAGGTGCCGTGGCTCAAGCCTGTAATTCTAGCACTTTGGAGGCTGAGGTGAGAGGACTGCCTGAGCCCAGGGGTTCAAGACTAGCCCAGGCAACTTGGTGAGATCTCGTCTCTACAATAAATCAAAAAAATTAGCTGGAGATGGTACTGCGCACCTGTAGTTCCAGCTACTTGGAAAGCTGAAGCAGAAGGATTGCCTGAGCCGAGCAGGTGGAGGCTTTGGTGGCCCTGAGCATGCCACTGCACTACTGCCTGGGCAACATGGTGAGACTCAAAATCAAAAGAGAGAGAGAGAGAGAGAGAGAGAGAGAGGCTATTAGACTGTCTAAAGAAAAGGAGACAGAAGCAGAACAGACGATGGTGGCAAATACATTCGGAATATTTTCTGGAAAAAGAGTAGACAGCATTTGGTGACTGACTGGGTATGAGGGGTAAAGGATAGGGAAGAATCAAAGATGCTATTGATATTTAGTTTGAGTTACTAGATATCACCAATTCTGTATGTAGTGTTCTAGAAAGAACATGAACTTCTGACCAAGGTAGTCTTATAGTTGAATGCAGGTTTTAATTCTTACTAGCTGTGCATTTTTGAGGTCACCACTTTCTTCTCTAATTTCCAGATTCCATGTCTCCGAATAATCTCCATTTCATAGAACTCTTGTGAGGACCAAGTGATAAATATATCACCCAGATATCTTTCTAGAAACAGTGCTGTGCCTGGAACATAGTAGACTTTCAGAAAATTTGGGGTTATTTCTTTTCTCCATTAAGGTATTCAGTATATTAGTCATGTCTCTAAATATTTATCCAAACCCACCTTATATTTATGGAGCCTGGTAATGCTGATATGGTTCTTGCTTTCATACCTTCTACATGGTTCTGTCACCCAGATCACTTGCAAGTTGCTATCATTTGTAAGAGTTTTATTCCCACGTTTATATAGAAATGGTGATTTTGTAGAATTTGAGCTTATTTTTCTACATTGAGAATACTCATGTGAAGTTTACTTTTATTAAACTTAATTTCTTCCTGTTTTTTCCTAAAAGCTATCTTATTTATAAAAGTTATTTACAATCTAATGCTATAATTAATGCTACTGCTTCATCTAATTTTTGTCTTCTAATTATCATCCTTCTTTTTTTATTTTCACATTTATTCATTCTGTCTGTCAACCACCCACCTACTGAGTCATTAAATTTTCCTGTTACCTGTTATGTTACTGGCAAGGTACTAGGTGCTATAGGAAATAACAAGATGACTAAAATTAAGTAAATCGTAGACCAAAAAGTAAGAGATTCTCGATAAATTTTATGTATCAGTTGCCACAGATCTGTTGCAATTGCCTCTGTGTTATATGTCTTCAGGCTATATATAACATAGATAATATAAGTGGTTATATAATGTGTGTGTGTGTGTGTATGTGTGTGTGTGTGTGTGTGTGTGTGTGTGTTTATATAGCTTTATATATTTTTGAAAATTATAAACCTCAGTCTGGCTTTGTAAAGGAGGAATAGGATAGTGAAAAAGTAAATTCTTGAGCTGGCACCAAATATACAGATAGAATCCCAACAAGTAGAGACGAAGAAGAGACTTCTGATGTCGAGTAGAGAGCCTGAGATCAGGAATAAGGATGGAAAATTAAAGAACAGTGAAGAGTCTTTCTTGAGTTTGGAGAAAAGGGTAGGGTGAAGACAGATAGAAGAGGAAAAAGAATACTGGTTAAAAAGTTTAGATTTTATCTCTTGGAAAATCAAGACCCTTTTACAGTTTGGAAGCTGAGAGTAATTTGATTAGGGCTGTGTAGGCAGAAGCTTTTTTTTTTTTCCAGGAAAGATGGGAAGGCACAGTCTCTATCTCTGAATTCTTCAACTCCTCACTGACATCCCCCACAGACGGGCTCACTCTCATCACACATCGGAACCATTCCTGGCTGATGTGGGAAGTTTACAACAGCTCAGAGACTTCCTGTCTCACCCATCAAGCAGAATTCACAACTGAGTCTCCAAGACATGGCATATGGAAGCCCAGGCAAAAGTGCCAGACTCCTGGGCTCATGCTGTGTCATACTGCTTCTCTTTCTTGGTTGCCAGTTAACTCAGTCTTCGGGATTGGTCTTCTGCTTTATGCTATATTATTTTAGCTCTGATTTGTCATTGTGCCTAATACAGTTGATTCTCTCCAAGATGATTTACCAGACGTGTACACCAGCTGACACCACTGTGCAATGGCCATGGTCTCACCTTGCTCTTTCACATTGAGCCCAATCTTTCTGGGTTCCCTACAGAGTTAGCTTCTGGAACTCCTTGGTTCCCAACTCTGCCTCATCTCTTCCTTCAGTTTATGCCCCACTTCATTTACTTTCTTCTTCCCCTTTTGCTCCAAGCTGCTTCCAGTGTGCTACCCTTTGCACAAAATAATGAAAAATTATACCACATACATCTATTTATCTTTACACCAAGAAACACAGATGAAGCAGACAGCAGAAAAGTTGGTTGCCTATAAGATTGAGGATAAGCAGGGTGAAAGGTTGAATGAAGAGAGTGGTGATTCTCTAAGTTGGCTTTTTTGCATAATTTTGACTTTTGAAAGCATTTTATTGTTCTATACATTACAAAATATAATTATATTAATGAGGATGGGATGGTACTTCTAAAAACCTAAAATTGAAAGAAATCAAATAAATAAGTTCAACTGCATTTCAAGTGAGTACCATAATCACACCCAAAGAGGCAAAATAAAATACATTCAAGAAGCTTATACATGCACATTTGACTACATACCCCAAACTTGGGCATGAGAGAGGTGGAGTGAGAATGCGGCAGAGGGTGGGCTGCAAACAAATACTAATCTTTTCCAATAGATTTGCCTTGAAGAGTGGTGTGTATGCAGCAATTCTAAAAACAATTATACATGTAATATAGGACTGAGAAAATAAGTAAATATGTTGGAGGCGTTGGGAGCCAGGGTTCTGGTCATGGAAATGCAACATGCAAACAAGAAATGGAGAAAATAAGAAATAATACTGTAGTGATGGACTGAACCTGGATGTTTTGGTGTAAATTCATGATTTCTAAAATATGCATATGTATGTATATGTATATACGTTTCTATGTGTAGGTCTCTGTATGACTATTCATGTGTGAATATGTGTACAAGCATATATTTACTAGTGTTGAAGTAGATTAAAATGAAGACCAGGCTTGAAGAATCTCTGAGCAGACAATGTCAGTTAGACCTCACAAATGACCATAATCCTTCTTGATTTGCAAAAATAAAGTGAAACTTACCGTAAGCTATTTCTTGTAAATGTCCACATAAACAAAAACAGAACTGAAGCTCAACCAAGGAGAAGCAACTAACAAACTTATAATTATGTAACAAGAGACTTCCCAACAGGATAAACAAAATAAGAAACTTTATAATTGTAACCAATAAAATATTTTTCCTTGTTTTACTTCTGTGTCTGGGACAGACACTCTTGTGCCTTCTCAGTAAAACTCCTGAACCTCTTCTGGTTTGGAGCTGCCAGATTCATGAATAATCACTTGCTCAAGTAAACTTATTAAAATTGCCTTGTGCTTCTGTACTTTTTGACATTAGCTTATTTGCAGAAAGGGCCAAGAAGCAAATACACCCCAGTGGAAATAAGCATCCCTAGTGCTCACAATTTTTATCCTAATACCATTCTTCACTAACAGGAATCAGGGCTCTTTGGAGAAATGGCTGATTACAAAGACATGGCAAGGCAGGTACAATATCACCCTGGAATATTCTGTTATCCTAAACAGTAAAGAATTGTTGAGAACAAAATAAAACAAAAGTGGAGGAGGTATGTCACAAGAACACAAAAACTAGCCTGATGGGCTCCCATACCTGTCTGAAACATGCTGTGTGCCAAAATAATTATGTATAGGAGTGAACAGTAAATCACTGAAATCATAGGGCTTGTGTTTCCAGACTGATAGTAAATCACTAACTAAGTGAAATATCAAATAATTGGCAAATGAGAGAAAATTTGCTTTTGTGGTAGAATATTGAGTACCAAATGGGAAATCTGGAGAGAATTCTGAAGTTCATAAATCATCATTTTCTAATCATCTTTGTAAATACTGGATCAGGTGAGAGTGTCATCAGTGGATGATAAATTTAGAGTCATTTTAATGAGGAATGGAATTTATGTATGTGTTTCCCCATAGACTGCTCATCTGTAAAAAGAGTAAACCAGAAATAACAGAGTGGAGACATGAGACAGTGCCTCAGTCAGCTGATAAAAAATGACTTCACCAATGAGCAGATAGATATCATGTGTTTCCAGATGGAACACCTTGAGAACATAAAATCATCTATCTGATATCTCACCTAAGAATGTATAACACGAATCTAATCATGAGGAGGCATCAAACAAATCCAAAATGAGTAAATTTTATTTTTTAAAAAAGAGGCAATTATTTTTCAAAATATTTAATGCTTTAAAGTCAAAATCTGTGGAAATGGTTCAGATGAAAGGAAGCTAAAAAGAGATGAAAACTAAACATAGTATTTCCCATAGACTGGATCTATAATGGGGAGGAAAATACCATAAAAAACATTATTGAGTCACTTGACAAAAACTGGACTATAGAAAAGAGTACATAAAAGTATTGTATCAGTGTTTTAAAAAACATGGAAATATAGATATCTTAGAAATTTGTTTTATATTTGACCAAATATATTGTATCATTTATAGAAATATACTAATATGATGAATTACATGCATAGATTCCTTAATGTCAAAACATTTTCAGGTTCCATAATAGCACCATTTGGTTATAATGTACCAGATTTTTTAAATACCTGGAATTGATTTGCAAACAAACAGATGAACAATAAATAAATAAATCCCCAAACAAGGATTTCAAATCCAAAGCAGATTGCAAGTCTTGTTACTAAAAGAAGTCTGAAGAGAATAAATTTTTCAGGATGAAACAGGCTGTGGTGTGTGTGTATGTGAGTGAGTTTTGGAGGGATAACTGTTATTAATCAGAGGTAGAAAAATCTTGAGAGGAAAGAGATGACAAAAGTGTTGGGGAGAGATGAGGAGAACACCAAGAACACAGAAAGTGACCTGTTAAGCTAAGAACTCATCTATTCACTCCTTGCTTTAGGTACAGCCCTGATTCCTACCAATAAAACACCCTTTCTAAGCTTAATCTACACCAAGCTACATGTCGCAATCAGACAATGGAAAAGTCTTAGCTCCTGCTGCAGGAGAACCCTAGCAACAATTTAAGCTTCAAGAAGAAAGATATTCACTTGTGTAATCAGATCTTTGGTGTGTAGAGCAATGAACCACACCCTAGGGCTACATTAGAATCACCCAAAGTGCTTTAAAAAAAGCACAAAAGTCCAGGCCACACCCCAAAGCAACTGAAACAGAACCTCCAGTGTAGGACATGAGCCTTGACATTTTATTTTCCCTTCAGGACACTCATGTTCAGCCACAGTTGAGAAAAACTGACTGTGGGGTTTCACACGTCTAAATGTCAAGAGAGGATTTAATTTATACCAACACTGGCTAAATACCTAAACTGCAACTGGTTTATTCTATATGCTTTTATTAATCAATTTTAACAGCAACTCTGTAATTTTCTAAAAATATTTTCAAATGACTTCTATGAAATTAAAAAAAAAATTTTGGTCAGACAAACATCTTGCTGTCACTATATTCTTCAATGAGCTTCATAACCAATACATCTGAAATGTCAACCAAATTAAAAAGATTTAGTTCTGTTTGAGGTTACGGTATAAATTCAAAGTACTCTTGATCTGTAACAGAAAACAAATCAATTTATAAAAATCCCTTTTAAAAGACTTAATACAGCATTCAAAATCATGGCTCACAATTTCCATAAAATGTTGTGGGAGTGTTATTTCCAGTGAATATCCTGCTAGAAGACATCTAGAACAGCTGGAGAGTATCAAGCTTGCCAGTCTCGGCAAGATGACTTTTTTTGTATTGATTTATCTGAATTTCACTTCTAAAAAACATACTCAAAAGCAGACTCACTCAGAGGTAGGGCACTTCCACATCTACAGACTTCCATTAAAAACAAAATTTGATGGTTTCACTGAAGAATTTTCATAGGATACAATTTATTTTTTTTGAGTCATAGTCTCACTCTGTCGCCCAGGCTGTAGTGCAGTGGCACCACTCTCACGGCCACCCCAGTGTCGACCCGCTGGGCTCAGGCAACCTTTCGGCCTCATCCTTCCAAGTAGCCAGAACTATAGGAGGATAGAATTCTTACCTGCATTAGAGCAGATGACATCTTGAGAATTCTTGCACATTTGGTTACTTATTTTCTCTGTCAGGTCACAGTGAGTTGGGTACTGGCAAGCATCCCCAGACCATCCCTCATCACATTTGCACTTGCCACAGTCACACTTCCCATGGCCTGAGAATTGAACAACGTCCAGTTAGAGATGCAAAGTCTTTTCCAGAAGAAATCACTATTGTAACCAAAACTCTAAAGAGTGATGTTGGTTCAGGAATGAGCTGTAATAAATTCAAGCATGTGTCTATCACAGTGGCTGAGGGATAATACTATTCTATATAGTGCGATGGAATATGAGAATTTCATTTCAATAATCAACTTTGATAAAAAATTACCCAAACATTAATTTATAGAGACATTAGGATAATATATCAAAAGTCTAATAGATCACATGGTCATAAAATTCAGCACTAAAAATAATAATTCTACCCAGCATCTCAGTATTTAAGAGCTAAAAGGCCGGTAGAAAATATGTCGATTTAACTGTATTTTATAACACATAAAACCACAAACCCTGGGTAAGAAATCTTATGTGAAATGCCACTAAACTAAACATTGGCCTTGTCTGAATTAAGTATATAATAATATTTTATGTATATATTAAATAGCACCTTCAGATAAGTCTGACTGAAATATATGTACATATTTTGTTTCATCTACCTCCACAGAAATTTCTCAATCTATAATGCTCTCAACTGTCATTTTGCTTTAAGGCAACACTGTTTTTATTGTTGCCATCAGTAACTTGATTAAGTCCTGCCTGATGTGTCTACTGATGATTTCGTTGACTGTACATTAGTCTGATAAATGTGCAAAACATGTACAAAACTTGACATTTGTCCCTCAAATAACTTACACCCTTCAAAGCAAAGACTGATAAACAAAGAAACTAATGTTATTTTATTATCAGTCAGATGTGATTTTCACCTCAGGTAAAGTTGAGTAATATAGTCTATGGTCTATAGAAATAAGATGGGATACTTTCTGGACTTGCTTGACTTTTAATTGAGCTTTGAAAGTTGAGCAGTATTTGAATGAGTTGTAAGGAAAATATCCTTATGTTACTCAAGATAATAATACTATGTCCTAATGCCTGAAAATCATAAAATAAAATCATTGGTCTGATGCCAACCATTTAATATGGCAGCCAAAATTCACAGGATGAGGTCCAGATGGTCAGTCAGAATGAATGAAGAAGAGACTGCCTATTTGGGCCTGTTAGGCAGAGTCTGAATCTGTGATTGGCTATGACTTTAAAACCTCTCTTCATGTAGTCCAGTCCATGAAAATGTTTCTATTTCTGTTGCATAATTATTCTATTTTATAAAAAAACCTTGCAAGTACCGTAACTGAAATTCATTTTATTCAGTGCACATTTCTCTGTCAAGTTGATTGTATCATTTTGCATTCCTGTCTGGTCTTACATGATACTGTCAATTTTGGCCAACTTGGCATCATTTGTAAGCGTAAATGATCTCTCCTGTCAACCATCCAGTCTACTTATAAAAGTATTAAGCCAAATTATTGAAGTGACTCTTTTGGTAAATTAAGTATCTTGGAAAATGTATTGACTTTTTAATAACAATAGTGTATTAGGTTGAATCACATGAAATCACCCCTTTTGTAAGTTAATCGAACATCAGCTATTTCTTATAGTTCATCCCATAAAAAGACTTCATATTAACAGCAAAGTATATACAAATGATTTAGAAAATAAAAATTATGGTAGCAATGATCTGCTGAATCAAGAATAAAAGACAACTTATTTTTTAAAAAATATCTTAAATGGGACATCTTAGATCCTAATCTAAAGTAAACACAGTAGAGATTAGTAAATGGATTGTGGATCAAAGGTTACAGATTTTTTTAAAAGGTTAAAAATAGGGAAAATTTAAAGAAAATGTATAGAGGATAAGAAGGGACCCATTCATCCCAAATTGACCCAATGAAGTATTAGAAACAATATTTTAAAGTGCTTAGTCTCCAAAGTGAGTACATGGAAGCCCAGATTCATGAAGCTCCCTCCAAAAAAAATTCTAGAGTAAAATAAACATGGGAAAGAATCTTGCAATATTCTCCTTTGAACGTGTCATGATATATGTCGGCACACTGAAGATCCTCATATATCCCATTGTGAAAAAGCTAACTTTCTCTTAGAATTTACAATTTTTTTGACTAAGGGGTCCTCTTTTTCTCAACTACAGTATTAGTATCTTACACACATGTTTAGACTAATGCTAGGACAGACACTGTCATGTGTTTAGCTTCTTTTCTAGCACCTGTTTGGAGGCAAAGATGACAGCTAATATGGAGGATCATTTGCCTTTATGTTACTTCTAAACTTTTTGCCCAGTAAAGGCTCCAAGAACCACCTTCCCCCATTTAGGAAATATAAAAAATAGGAATTGATTTTTGGCTGTCAAGAATTATCAAATAGCCTGTGCAACCTTGTTTAGAGATAAATAAAGATATTTTGTTTTGTTTTGCTTTGTTTTGTTTTGTTTGAGTTGGAGTCTCACTCTGTCACCCAGACTGGAGTGCAGTGGCCGCTCCCGGCCACCGCAGCCTCGACCTGCTGGGCTCCGGCGATCCTTCCGCCTCAGCCTTCCGAGTAGCCGGAATTACAAGCATGGGCTACCACGCCCGGCTGATTTTTTGATTTATTGTAGAGATGAGGTCTCGCTGCCCAGGCGGGTCTCGAACCTGCGGGCTCAGGCAATTCACTCACTTCAGTCTCCCAAAGGCGCGGGATTACAGGCTGAGCCATGGAACCCGGCTATAAATATATTTTTTAATAGTCTTCAGATTATTTTTTACTATTTTTTGAGGTTGGTAAGAACTTTGGAAATTAGATTGCTATATTATTGTGCCAAGGTAATCTCCATGATAGTGTCAATAAAATGCTTCAAAAAAATTATTCATTATGTATTAGTTTCCTGGCACTGCCATAACAAAGTACCACAAACTTGGTGGCTTAACATAACAGAAATTTATTCTCTCACAGTTCTGAAGGCCAGAACCTGAAATCAGGTTGGTTCATTCTGGAGGATCTGAGGAGAAAACCTTTGCATACCCCTCCTGGCTACTGGTAACTACAGGCAATCATTGGCGTTTTCTGGCTTGTGGCTGTGAAACTCTCATCTCCTAATGACTAATAACATTGAACATCCTTTCATATATTTATTTGCAATCCATCTATGTTCTTTTGTCCATTTTTGTATTAAAGTTTTTTCTTAGTGTTGAAATTTGAGCGTTTATATAGTTACACAGGAGAGATGAGTAATGGTTTCAGGGGTAAAGGTTACAGATTTTTTTTAAATAGGACTAAAATAGAGGAAAAATAAAGAAAATATACAGAGGATAGGGAAAGACTCATCCATCCCAAACTGACCCAATAAAGTATCAGTAGAAGCAATATATTAAGGCATGTGTTCTCCAGAGTTCATTGAAATCCAATTTTATGAAACGTCCTCCATAAAATTTCAATATATATAATGAGCTTGTATTCAGAAGATGATAGATTAGATAGACAGATCGATAGACACAGATAGAGCATCTAAATACAAGTTCATTGTCATAAATGTGATTTGCAAATAAATATATTCTCCCAACTTGTAACTTCTCTCTCATTCTCTCAACAGCATCATTTGAAGAGTAAAACATTTTTATTTTCAATTAAATCCAATTTATAAAATTGTTTTCTTTAACAGATGTTCTTTTGGTGTCTATTCGAAAAGTCTGTGCCTAACTTCAGGTTGATTCTTTTGCCACTAAACCACATTCTTGATTTCTATAATTTGTAGCAAGTATGAAAATCAGGTACTGTGAGAACCACAACTTTGCTCTTAAAAATTATTTTGGCCTTTGTAGTTCTTTTAGTTGTTTTTTTTTTTTTTAATTAGATAAAAATGCATATTTATTTTACAGAGACATTATTTTAAATCAACAAGAAAATTCTAAAATAGGGCAAAGTAACTTTTTGCAGATTTACTGGTGTCCTATTTAACATTCCTGTTAGGAGAATAAATGTCAGGTAAAGGAGGAGTGAACTGCTATTTCCTTTCTTCTTCTCCTTCTCCTCCTCCTCCTCCTCCTCCT